CATGCCAGTTTCATGTTATTGTTACTTTAGCTTTTACCTGGCCCTGAGAACTGCTGCCAAATTTCAAGGTGTCTGAGATGATCTGCAGAAGGTATAGGAAGTGTTTATCATCATAACTGAAGCGCTGGCCAAACACCAAACAGCAGATAACATTGGACACGGTGCAGCTCAGGAAGAAGGTTGGATCAAAGGGTTTAGCTAAAAAAAAGAAAAGAAAGAAAGACATTCATCAGTGTCACCCATGAAACAACAAACCGACACTAGTCAGGAGTCAACAATTTTCATTATAGTCCTTTTTTATTATTATCAAGAATTATATGAATACTTAAACAGTTGCAACAATGGCACTCAATCAAAAATATATGTTTATTTGTGTTAAATGCTTTTTTTAAGTTTAAGGTACATTTTTAAATGTTAACTAATTTTGTATTTTATTTGAAGCAGTAGGGCATGCAAAGATTAAAATTGTAGTATCAGTATTCTAACAGAGACATTACAAAAAGTCCCTGTGTAAGAAAACGCCTGCAGATGATAGGAAATTGTCTTTTGTTACTCAGTAATCCAGCAGAAAACTAAAGAGCATCATGACAACTGACACGTACAACAGCCCTGAGAAACTGTGAACTTTAAAATTTACTGATATTTACTGGGAATTGGGCTTACCAGCAGTCAAAATCGCATCAAAATATATGACACTGTTTTACCTGAGAGCTTTTAGGATGATGTAAAAATGGGCAACATTTACTTATATGTGTGCAAAAACAGATCCAAAAATTATGGTGTTTCTGGAGCAACTTTTGATTTATTTATAACTTGATAATCACATGATTTGTGACTGCAAATCACTTAGTGTTGGTCAAAAAACAAACAGCAAGTCACAATGGACATGGTGCAAAAGCTCAAATGTACAACATCATTTAGTTTAGTTTATTTTGAATGTGTGAATATTAGTTTATAACTCTGTATATGACAAACTGAACACACAAGACAAGCACAGTCACCTTTCCATATTCTATACCAACCATTCATCTTTTTAATGCAGCCCACCAGATGACTGCTCTCCTCCTGGATCCACTCTTCCATTCCTTTACATCCCATCCCAAAGTCTCTCAAAGTTGTCAGGGTAAACCTTTGTAGCTGTTGCCAACACTCTCCATTGCTAACACCCAAACCTTTTGAAAGGTAGAAGTAACGCATAGTTTCATAAACATGACCTTCACAAAAAAGACACATTGTAACATTAAATCCTCTATATTACCGTAGCCTTTGGAAGCTTTGAAAAGTAATGGGATAGGTCCTCGGCCAGAGAAGTCATCTGCTTGGTCCACCAGCGCCTCCTTCACAGCATCATACCCCAACAAAATCACTGTGCGTTGGGGGCCCAGATACATCGTCATCACCGAGCCATATTTATCACTGAGCTGAAGGGTTAAATGGAAAAATGAGTGAGCTTATACAGACATACCAATCCCTGGGATCTTTAACACCAAAGTATAATCCTATGCCACAAGCAATGAAATATTTTGACAATCAGTTGAGGCTGATGTCTGTAAATAAATAAATAATGGTTTACTGGTATACTATAATGCTGTCTTACACAATAAAAATAACAATCAGCTTAGTGGTTTTTCCATAAGAATGCACAAAAACATGCACATACACACTGCAATCAAAACAGTCAGAACATTGTGTTAAACATTATGTGGGGGTTTATGTGTTAAGAAGTAATTCAGTCACCTTTAGCATAGTTTTGAATGGGGCCCTTTTGTCCATTTGCAGCACATTTCCGATGACAGGCAGGGCAGAGGGTCCGGGAGGTAAGGCAAGTTGCCTATGACTCTTGATGCTGAAAAGTTACAGTAACGTCAAGACAGCCCCTATTAAAATCAACGTGCCAGAAAACTCCATGATTTTCCAGGACAGAAACTCTTGCTGTTCCCTGGAGTTGAAATGGCTGAGAGATCAAAAGAGAACTAATTGAAATGCAGCCATTTACGCTGCTTGTCAGGCGCTGGTCAACCTTTTGCCTGGATTTCACGCTGTGCTGCGGAATGCTGTTGAGCAATATGCTCAGCCTTGTAGTCATACTTGAATCTGTCGGTTACATGTTTAATTTCAGATTGGTGTGAGAACAGTAAGTCCTGAAGGAAAACCCCTTTTTTATGCTTATGTTACTAAACACCCACATGAGAGCGAAGGAAATCAGCTCTGCAGAAAATGCCACTGTACTGCAAGGAATAACCTTTGTCTTAGAGACAGTGGCAGCAACATTTGCATTATTCCATAGTAAATACGAAGCACCTTTTTGTTTAGCCTCCAATCTGTCATATCATCTGGGTTTATTTGAAAAGGTTAAACAAACAGAAAAAAGAACAAGTTACATTAATAAATACAGACGTAATCAAATGATCAAATAATGAGTTTCAGTACAAGTATTAAATACTTTGTGGTTTGTGTTTAAAAAATAATTTTGTTTTTAGACTGGTAAAAATACGAGTTAGTATTTTCATTGAATAATTAAGAAATGTGAAAAAATGTAAACAACAAAAATGGGCCCAGTTGACATATGAAAAGTCAGCCCTTTACCGTATAATTGAGCTAACAACAAACACCTCTTTGTTAGACATAGTACTTCCAGTCATATTAAATTGAGTGGAGCATCAGCAAAGAGGCAGCAAGAAAATATAATTTTGTGGTATTAAATATTTATATACATGAGCTGTCTTATTTAAATTACAATTTCCTCTCACAAGGAAATGCACAAGAGCAAGAACATTCACAGGAACACATTCAGCAGACAAAAACAATAGAAAAAGAAACAAGATTCCATTAAAAATTGTGGGCGATCGTGGCTCAAGAGTTGGCAGTTTGTCTTGTAATCGGAAGGTTGCCGGTTCGAGCCCCGGCTCCGACAGTCTGTCGTTGTGTTCTTGGGCAAGACACTTCACCCGTTGCCTACTGGTGGTGGTTAGAGGGCCCGGTGGCGCCAGTGTCCGGCAGCCTGGCCTCTGTCAGTGCGCCCCAGGGCGGCTGTGGCTACAATGTAGCTTGCCATCACCAGTGTGTGAATGGGTGGATGACTGAACGTGTAAAGTGCTTTGGGGTTCTTAGGGACTATGTGAAGCGCTATACAAATACAGGCCATTTACAAAAACACATAATAAAGGAATCTAGACTGACTGCGGTTTGTAGTTTGTACCTGAAGCCAGTTCTATCAGGTTTAGTTTGTACATCAAAGGTTAAGTATTACAGTTGTAGTAAATAAATGGAAGAACAGGGTCAAGTAGTTTAAATCCTTCTTTCTTCTTTATACAAGTGATGTCATTGATATCTGTCAATATTTTTTTCCTGTTTTTTTAAATTTTTGAATCAGTTACTGAATGTTCAATCAAGGTCTGCTATGAAGCTATGGTTATCAGTATTTTTAAGCCAAGAGTGAGCAAGAATAATATGGGTTCAGGTTAACAATATTTCTACTGGGTTTAATAGTATGTTCAAACATACAACCATACAAACAAGTAGCATTAGTCCAAGAATTAACCTTTGGAACAAATATCTTCTATGGAAGTGGTAGAGGACGTTGTGTTTATACATAAGCAGTGTCACTGCAGTGTTGCACAATTATGGATTTATTTAGATAACATAGAAGTTACATATTTAATTCTTTGATGACCACAACAGAAAAGTTAAAAGTTATTCAGCTATGCCAAAGTTGTTTCTTCCTTAGAACTGTCTTGTTTTGTAGGCTAGAACTGGTGGATTCTCTTCCAGCCAAGATCCGGCTTTGCAGACAGCAAGCTGTCATAATGTCCTGAGAGGACAAATTGGTAACACTGCTTTGACACTCAAAATAGAGCCAAAATTCAAAATACTCACTTTATCTTTTTCCTCAAGTTTTGTGGTGTTGTGTTTTGAATTTTTATTTTTGTTCGGCCTTTGTGATTTTGGTTCCTCTCCCTGTCTGTCTCCCATTGTCAGGTTTCTGCCATGTTATGTTAAATGAGAGTTTTGTAATTGTTAAGTGTGTCTTTTGTTGTTCCCTATCTTACTTTGTCTGATGGTCCAAAATTATTATTTTTTTAAAGTCACGTGGTTAGCCAGGGGACTGAAAGAGTCTAATTTGAGCAGTTTGCAGTTCATCTAGTTGAAGGGTTATATTTATCTAATATCTAATGTTAAGTATCAACTGGATCATGAAATGCACCTTTAAATGGAAGAATAGATGACAGGTATTGTAGAAGCTTTGTGAATTAAGCTTCTACAATACTCACTTTTTTTGATTAAAGTCTTGTTATTAAGCAAATAATAAGTAATTATTGATATAACACAGTTACATATTACAAGTTAACTGCAGACTGCAGACATGGTGCTTCAGCAGCATGATGACAATGACAATGAAAAATGTCTTCATGGCGAAGACCAGAAATGAAGGTTTGACCATTTTGGGGATCGGCCCGAGTTTCGCCGTAATCGACAACAAAGTAAAGCTAGTTTTCGGCTACGAGCCCGACACGGAACCCGACGTATTATCCAGAGGTCCCTTTACTACAGTTCGGAGCCGTGGACCTGTTTTATATACACGTGGAATAGTTTTCTATATGAGATTGCTGCAGAAAGTGCAGCCTTGCCTAATGTCCACCTTACCCAAACTCTTTCATGGCATGCATTTTTAATTTCTCTTTCCTATTTGGGCAGATTGGGACCTGATGAATGTAAAAACAAAGAATTTCCAGATTTTATTTTATTTATTTATTATTTTTTTTACATGATTTTTGTTTCTGAGAAAAATGAGATCCACATATGAGGACCCCAAAGCGCTTTACACAACCAGTCATCCACCCATTCACACACACATTCGCACACTGGTGATGGCAAGCTACATTGTAGCCACAGCCACCCTGGGGCGCACTGACAGTATTCAGAATACGTTACTCTCATTGAGTAACGTAACGGAATATGTTACAAAATACATTTTGGGGCATGTATTCTGTAATCTGTAGTGGAATATATTTTAAAAGTAACCTTCCCAACACTACAAGTTGGTAATATTTTTTGTGTATTCCTACCCTGTATTTTGGGGTGTTTAATCAGCACAGTGAGAGCTCAGGGTGTAGCTGGTGGTCTCTGTTCCAGCAACAAACAGATTCAATACAGTAGAAACCAAGTTGTCGTAGTTGAACTCACTTGAGGGATTGTCCTTTTCCTAAGGAGACAAATTAGGAATATTTTTGTCTCAAAAGAAATTACAAAAAAAAAAAAACTAAATGCCTTTTCAGCAGCAGGCAACAGACCCACTTGAAATATAGTTTGAATAAATAATACATATTTGAATGCATCATCTCTACTGAAAAAGTCCTAAGTGTCCTTAACAAAGCAACTGATCCTTCAGTTCTTTCCAACCTGATTAATTCTGATGAGGAAGCAGTCAGTGTAGCCTCTGTGGGAGCTGGGGTCCAGGGTCTCTTTGTGCTCTTGGATTTCCCTCTTGATAAAATCTCTGGCCTCCTTTACATGTCCAAAAATAGTTTGGTGGTAGCCAGGAAGATGGTCCATGATCCAGGGAAAGATGTTGTACATCTTCCGGGGAAAAACAAAACAGCTTTATTTGTTTAAAGACGTGTGGAAACATGCAATAAATTTGATTGTGTATCAATTTTTTGGACAACACACTTCAGGTTTGTTGGTTTGGAGGTAATAATGCAGAACTATTCAATCAGTATGTTTGTCTTTTTTTTTATTATACCCACTGACCTGACCAAGAGGACTACTGTTAAACCTTGTGACCTTAGGCATGATGGTCAGAAGGTGCAGGAACTGCTTGTCTTCAAAACTGAAGCGTTCCCCAAAAACCAGGCAGCAGATCACATTAGAAATGGTGCTGCTTAACACAAATTGGGGGTCAAATGGTTTACCTGGAGAAAAAAGGAAAACGACAGTTGGAAATAGTTAGCAAAGTTACGAATTACAAATACAACTATGTGAAATCTTTATTTAAATAAATCATCTCATTTAGCTTATAGTTTCTCTTTGAAGAAAGATTTGACAATGAGAAACAGTCTCAACCATCAACACAAGACAGCATTATGATTAACAAAAGAAAAATATCCACCTTAATCAATTGAAGTCAACTAAAGCTAATTATCATATGATGATAACATGAAGTTCAATAATGAAGTCATCTGTCTGGATTTCTGGGCTTTTCGACTGCAACTCTTTTCTTTTTCTCACTTCCGCTTTCCTGTTTTTAAATCGAATTCTTTCATCATCACAATGATTCAATAATTTGATTTGTTTTTCTATAAATTTCTAATAAAAAAGTCTCTATTCAATGTGCTTTAAATCACAGTGTGTTTCTGTCATTTTACCTTTCGAATTCCCCCTCAGCCATGTCCACTTTATCATTGTTGCTCATCCAAGACTCCAGCTGTGTTATTATTCCACCAGCATCGAGGCCCATAGGTATTGTGCTATTTTCTGCCATTGCTGAATTTCCACCCTTCTATATTAGAATCTACTTGCCAAACATGTTGTTGTACTTCACTGTCTGCTATGGAGTAAATACTTAATATTTGTTTTGGATTGTTTGTTTCTAGAATGTACTCCAGTAGTAATAGGGTGAACGTCTAACACAAGGAGCCACACACACACCTACAGCCCAGTTAGGATCAACAAATACACTGACACACATTTATTTGTACTGTGAGAGGACTCTGAGGCTGCAAACTCTTCACATAAAGTATATAACTGTAAATCAGCATGGGTAATTTAATCTTTTCCAAGCGCATCAGTCATGTCACAGCAAGCTGACGTTATAAATGATGCTTTAGTGTTTTAGCAGGATATGCAATACTTTATGTTTTCTATGCAAAGATTAAAGAGTTCAGACAAAACAGGATTTGTACATGAATTACAAAATCTGATAGTTGTAGACTTCGCCATATGTTACTAAATTATTTGATGTATTTTATCAAAATGTTAATGCGTGTTGTTGCATTTTGTTACATATTTAGTTTTGTTTCCCTAACCTCTCTTACTACTACAGCCTATTTCTTGTGCAGGCACAAATGAAGAGTTTTGTAGTGTTTCCAAGAAATGTTCTTGTTATTAAGTTTCCTTTTTTTCAAAGTGACAGTAACTTCTCAGGTAAATATTGAATTGAACATTTTTTGGTCATATTCAAGCTACTGTACTCGAAAAAGAGTGAAAGACTCGAGCAGTGATTGAGGGAAAAAGAAAAACAGCAGTCCTTTTTCAAATCCACCCTCAACATGTTGAAAACGCACCTTTAAATGTACGTATGTGAACCCTCAAGTGTTCGCTGACTTCTTGGATCCATTCTTCCATCCCCTTGCGTCCCATCCCAAAGTCTCTCAGGGTTGTGAGTGTGAAGCGTCGCAGCTGGCGCCAGCGCTTCCCATTACTGATTGCTAAACCTGAGAAGATGAAATGTCAAGATTAGGAAAACTTTTACACAAACTGTTATTTGAAATTTCTTTATTTTCATGTAAAGTTGATTTGGAGTCATGCCAAAGAAATCACTGGTCTTGAAAACTGATATATGGTGTCTTGTTACCATAACCATTGGTAGCTTTGAACAGAAATGGTACGGGCATTCTGCCTGTGAAGTCATCTGCCTGATCCACCAAGGCTTCTTTCACAGCATCATACCCCACCAGAACCACTGTCCGCTGCCAGCCCATGTACAGTGTCATCACAGGACCATAGGTTTCACTGAACTAAGACAAAGCTAAGAAGAAAAAAACCTTTTTTGTATTCATGCAACGTCAGCACGCAGCTAAAATAAAAATCCAGACAGTAATGGAGTGTGCTCTTGAGACTGAAGAAGTCACTTGGATGAGTGACGAAACGTTTCTCCCACAAAACGCTACGTCCAGATGAACAGAATCCACTTTTGGGGAGTGTGCCCTTGTTTATTCTTAAGTTACTGAACAATTTAACAATATGAAAAATCCTGGAGGTCCTGGAGGCAGGCGATACTTCCTTCTTTTTACACTAAACAGCCACAGCAGAGCTAAGATTAGCCCTGCCAAGATCACTGTGGCAGAAAACTCCATAATGTTGTATTTTGTATTTTTGTCCTTCCTTATATACCTACTTTCTCTCTGTGATTGGCTTCTGTAGCTAGTTTATATTTAACAGGGGTTTGGCTGGTTGGACACACATGACCAATGTGATGTTTTAATCTTGTGCACCTTAGCACACTTTTACCTTGTTAATGATGCTCATTGACAAAAAGATGTTGCAACATTTGATTTGAATAATAAAGTCAAAACATGTAAACCATCCTCATTTGACAGTCTACACTGCCCTCTATTGGAATCAAGATTTGGCCCACACACTGCTCTGGCACCTGTTTGAACATTTACACGCTGTCTGCAACAGCATACGTAACTATTATAAAATAGGTTCAGTTTCTAATACAAATCTGCTCTCTTACCAAACCAATCAACTCTGTGAAATGAATCCAAGCAATCCAATACTGTGCTTCACTCGTAGAAACATAAAATATGTTTACAGTGAATGCTGTTAAAGTAGTAAATACTTATGATCTAAATTTGAAAGGAACATTTCACAAAAATCTTTGTCAGACTTTATTTGGATTGTTTATTTTCTTTTTCATATGAAACTGGGTTTACCTGCTCAGCACTAAGGAGAAACATAGTGATTACAATTTAATGTTCAAGACTAGGTGTTTACATAAAAACATATGCTTTGTTGACAGGCCTAAAGTAATTTGTACTAGCTATTAGTTAACTTATAAGTGCAACACATACTGTTTATATTGCTTTTGCATTTGGTTTGGTTCCATTTTGAACCGAGTCAAGGAATCCCTCATAATGTGTCTATACCAAATTTTGAACTATGTATCAATTTAGAAAGCAGCAACAAGTTACCTGAAATTAGTAAATGCACTATTCATTTTTTTTTTATTAATTTCAACACCATAAACAGAGATAATATATTTTTTAGATTTTACATCATTTATTTTGAAAAAAATTAAACCCACTAGTCATGTCATACTGCAAACAATGAGCATGACATTTGTAATTATTGATAGAAAACAGTTGTATATTAACATAAAGCCCTAAAATAAAGACATGGTGCTTCAGCATCATGATGACAATGCAAAAACAAGCAGATATGAAGGTTGACTTCAAAGAATAAAGCAATGTGCTTCTGGAAGAAGACAGATATCCTTCAATTCTATACTAGAGGATGACTAGTTTTTCTTAAGTTAATGGGGATTCTATTGGAGCACTCTACAAGTAGTAATAACAGGCTGCTCTGATGGTATGCTTTGACCATTTTCAATTCAATTCAATTCAATTTTCAATTCAATTTTATTTATACAGCCCCAAATCACAACAACAATCACCTCAAGACGCTTTATATTTTAAGGCAGACCCAGCAATAATATATACATAGAAAAACCCAAAAATTATATTGTGTTTTCAAATGATTAACTTTAGGTCTACCATGTCAGTACTTGTAAATGCTGTCAGTATTTACAGTATTGTCTTTAGCTTTGTCTGACATGACATAATGTTGCCTATGTGTTTACTTGGACATCCACTGGCTGTCTGGCACATAGGTCACTCAGTGTAACCTTTTTAAAGCTCCTCAATCATTAACATTTATTGATATTGTGACTGTTGGTGTTGTAATAGTGTGGTTACAATGAATATATTGATCCACTCTGGTGCAACAATTAACTGCTATTTGTTACAGTTAAAATTTTGTTTTAAAGATCTTTTTTGATTTCTTAGAAAAGCAAGGGTATGCATGAAGCTGTAATGCTTTTGCAGGTTATGTAGTATCTTTATTTTGAATCCACTGCATCCAGATATACATAAGGAATAAAGAGTACAGGCAAAGCAGGTTTCATACATGAGCTATGCAATACAGCAAAATTCCAACTGTCATCTATTAGATAACCTTTGTATTCTGTTACTTGTTTGTTTATACTCATTGCTAGTTAGTTTATGTTTGACAGAGAGTTGGCAGGAGCACCGCATTAGAGCACAGGTGAGCCATGTGATCTTCCTGTTCACCTTAGTACACCTATTTCTCATTTCATTGCCAAACAGCTATTACAACATTTGACCTGATTTCTATAATCAAAACATGTAAAACAGCTCCGTCCTCTTCACCAAGATTGCACGTTAATGATTCACAGGAATGACTCAGGGCGTGGATATTCTTTATCATCAACTCTGAAAGACTTGTTGAAATTATTATATAAAACCTATGAGTAACTTTATCGTGTTTCTGTGTTTGTGTTTTGACAAAAAAAAAAATGAAAGAAACAAAAAAAACCAAACAACAACAACAACAATTTGTCAGTAAATTCACTATTTAGTTTAAAACACTACAGAAACTCTTAGAACTTAGATTCAGCACATTATTTGAAATCATGCCTTCCCAGCTAAAACCTCACATCTCACTTATATTATTATTATTTCATGTCTTTTTTCTATATCACAGACATAACAGCAAAAATTTATTGCACATTCATTTAACTCTACTTTTAATTGTGCATTTAATGTTACTGCACCACATTAACGCAATGCAGCATGTTGTAGAGATCCATGTCAGTGATAGTGCTGCAAATGATGACAGACTGAGTGGCTCTCATTTTAACGTGCTGTAGCTATGATTTGATGACTTCGAGGTAAATTGGCAAAGCTGCTGTACTCTGGATCGAGGTCTACACTGTCAGGGCCTCCTTCACAGGAAAAGGTGAAATCCTGCAGCAGTGAGACTACGAAGATAAAAAGCTCCATACGAGCAAGAGACTCGCCAACACACGCTCTCTTCCCTGTAAAGACACACAATCACAAATCACTCTATGGTAACCAAAATTGCTTGTTCTTATTAATTTAGGCTTTCTACCTTACAATAATAAGTGCCTTGAGGCCAGGTTAGCTGATTTATATAGAGCTACAGCTGAAAATTGTATAATTTATCAACTGTGTCAGGACTTTATGTACCTGCAGAGAATGACATGAATGCAGGATTTTTCTTGAAGTTGCCATTATGGTCCAGGAAGTGCTGGGGATTGAAGAACCTGGGAGTGGCCCATTGCTTTTCCTCTTTCAGCACAGAGTGCAAGAAAGGAATAATTACAGTGTCCTGTTCAGAACAAATATGTTGTTAGTCTATTGATGCTTTTAATACTTTTGACATTAACCCCTGACATGATGCACAATGGACTTAATACTGACTGTAATACGTATAATGTCTTGGAATTAAGAATACCTTTGGGATTGTATAACCCCTGAAGGATATGTCATTCAGTGCATAGTGAGGTATGCTGAAGGGCACAATGTCAAGAAAACGTTGGACCTCATGGATGACAGCATCTGAAAATGGGAGGGACTTCCTGTCGTGCATCCTGGGACAACGATCTTTTCCAATTACAGTGTCAATCTCTTGCTGCATTTTCTCTGGACAAAGCAAAACAAAAACTATAACCGCTCTGATCTGTTTGTAATGACTGCTAAGTTTTAGATTCACAAACAGACTTATCCCTAACTATAATATATTTAGGGCTAAAAGCAAGTTGGTAATACTTTTTTCTGTACACCTACCCTGTATTTTGGGGTATTTAATCAGCACACTGAGAGCATATCTCAGGGTGGAGCTGGTGGTCTCTGTTCCAGCAACAAACAGATTCAGTACAGTAGAAACCAAGTTGTCATAATTGAACTCACTTGAGGGATTGTCCTTTTCCTAAGGAGACAAATTAGGAATATTGTTGTCTCAACAGAAACCAAATTTAAAATACTCAAATGCCTTTTTAGCAGCACATAACAGACCAGCTCGAAATATAGTTTAAATAATTCCAACCTGTTTAATGCAAATACGGAAAAAAGAACGACACAATGCAAAGTGCCCTAAACAAAGCAACTGATCCTTCAGTTCTTTCCAACCTGATTAATTCTGATGAGGAAGCAGTCAATGTAGTCTCTGGGGGAGCTGGGGTCCAGTGTCTGTTTGTGCTCTTGGATTTTCCTCTCGATAAAATCTCTGGCCTCCTCTGCATGCCCAAAAATAGTTTGGTGGTAGCCAGGAAGATGCTCCATGAGCCGGGGAAAGATGTTGTACATCTTCAGGAGGGAAAAACACAGCAGCTTTATTTGTCTAAAGACGTATGAAAATATGCAATCAGTATTACTGAGTATTAATTCTTTAGACAACACACTTCGTGTCAGGGACCTGGATCTGAGCGACCCAGGGTCCATGAGCAGCTATGGACTGATATAATATATTATGTATGTTGGCTGCACTGTGCTGCTGTTCTTGTGTTCTCCATGCTTGTATGTATAGGCAAGTGGATGTGTCTGTGAGTGAGCACTGGGTTTCAGGCAGGCCTGGTGGGTGTGTCCCGTCTGGAGACTGGCCACACCTAAAGCAGATGATCACACACACCTGCAGCTAATGAAGCCTAGTCGGGGAGCTACTTAAGAGTGTGGATGAGCGCGTCTTGGTCGTCTTGGTGTGGGATCGTTGTGTGAGACTCCATGTTAGTGGGCTTCGTGAGCCAAGTTAAGTGAGTGCATGCCTGAGTGTCCTGACAGTTGCTTCTTTGTTATTTTCTCCAGGAAGGAGCATGGAAGACAAGAGCAGCGAGCACTGGGTGCGCGGACACACAGGAGCAGAAGAGCATGGACTTGTGGGTGGAAGACACGACATGGGAGTCAAGGGAACACACTGGGATTTATTATTCTGTGTATTATTTACACCACTGTAAATAAAGGCACTGTTTATCATAAAGAGTCTAGCATTTGGGTCCTCCTTCCTCACATCCCCACGGTTGGCCAGTGCTAACTGTGACACTTCAGCGTTGTTGGTTTGGAGGTAAAAAATGCAGAACTATCTGATCAGTATGTTTGTTGTATTTTTTTTATATGTTAATTTTTTTGTAATCATGTCCACTGACCTGACCAAGAGGAGTACTGTTGAACCTTGTGATCTTAGTTATGATGGTCAGAAGGTGCAGGAACTGCTTGTCTTCAAAACTGAAGCGTTCCCCAAAAACCAGGCAGCAGATCACATTAGAAACAGTGCTGCTTAACAAAAATTGGGGGTCAAATGGTTTACCTGGAGAAAAAAGGAAAAAGACAGTTGGAAATAGTTTGCAAAGTTACGAATTAAAAATGCAAATGTTAGGTTTTTATTTAAATAAATCATCTAATTTAGTTTAGTTTCTTTTGAAGAAAGATTTGACAGTAAGAAACTTTCTGTCAGTTGGCTGGGTCTGTGACCCAGCATTTTCAAGTTTATGGTCTTTTTGTGAATTTTTTGTTTGGAATGATGCATCCATCCATTCGCTTCCGCTTATCCTTTTCAGTGTCGCAGGAGCCTATCCCAGCTGTCATAGGGCGAGAGGCAGGGTACGCCCTGGACTGGTCACCAGTCTGTCGCAGGGCTAACACACAGAGACAGGCAACCATTCGCGCTCACATTCACTCCAGCATTCACACCTATGGGCAATTTGGATTAATCAATTAACCTATCCCCACAAACTGCATGTCTTTGGATGGTGGGAGGAAGCTAGAGTACCCGGAGGTAACCCACACAAACACATGCAAGAACATGCAAACTGCACACAGAAAGATCCCAGCCTGATGATGGAATTGACCTTCCTGCTGTGTGGCAACAGCTGACCACCGTGCAACTGTGCTGCACCATGGATGGGTGGTTGGCACTAAATAAAAGAAAAATAGAAAACTTCATGGATGTAGTTTTCTATTATTTAGTATTAACTTATTCTTAGCATTGGCAGTATGCTTAGTTACATTTGCTTCCATGTTGTCTGGTCCAGGTGTCTCGTCTCCCCTTCCTGTCCCATGTCTGTCCTTTCTGTCATGTCTCGTTCCCTCTTTCTCAAGTGCCCCTTGTTTAAGTCTCCCTCTCTCTCTAGTGCTCCCTCACTCTTGTTCTCCCTCGGTCCCTCTGTCTGTCTCTCATGTTTGCTTTCTCTTGAACCTTGTGTCAAGCTTGTGCTTCCCAGTTTACATCTCTCCACGTTTCCTGCTTTATTTTGACGGTCTTGTGTTCCATGTTCAGTATTAGTTTTGCTTGCCCTTTGGTGTCATGTTGATTTGTGTCAGCTGTGTTCCCCATATGTTTCCACTTCCCACATTACCCTTCTGTGTATTTAACTCCTCTGTCTCCCTTTGTTCACTGTCAGGTCGTCTGTTTTCCTCTCCTTATGATCCATGGATTTAATGTTGTCTTTAGTCTCAGTTATTGCACGCTCCTTTTCATGTTAATGTTTTTCTTGTCTAGTCTTAGTGTTTCCCAGTTTAGGTTATAGTTTAGTTTTTGCCTTTGCCTTTTGCTTTTGTGTTTTCATCAGCCAAAATAAACAACTCGCTTTTTGTTGTACTCCAGTCTTGTTTCTTGTTATTCTGCTTCTTTGTCTGCTCCACAAATATACTGGCCATTCGGCTGTTTACACTTTCACAACAACCGACAAAAGAGTGCATTATGATAAACAAAAAAAGTTCTTCACATTAATCAACTGAAGTCCACTAAGGTTAATTATCATATGATGATATCATGAAGTTCAATAATGAAATCATCTGTCTGGATTTTTGGGCTTTTGGATTGCAATTCTTTTCTTTTTCTCACTTCTGCTTTCCTCTTTTTAAATCGAATTCTTTCATCATCACGCTGATTCTCTAATTTGATTTGATTTTCATAACAAAAAAATCTCTGCTCTGTGTAAATCTCAGTGTTTTTCTGTCATTCTACCTTTCAAAATCTCCCTCAGCCATGTCCACTTTATCATTGTTGCTCATCCAAGTCTCCAGCTGTGTTATTATTACCACCAGCATGTGCTATCTCCTGCCATTGCTGAATTTCCACCCTTCTATGTTGCTTCATTGGAATCTACTTGCCAAATACTTTGTTGTACTTCACTGTCTGCTATGGAGTAAATACTTAAGTATTTTTTTGGATTGTTTGTTTCTAGCATGTACCCCAGTAGTCACGAGGTTAACACAAAGCTAACACAAAGAGGCAGACAAACACACACCTACAGCCAGGTTAGGATGAACAAATACACTGAAACCCATTTGTTTGTACTGTGAGAGGACTCTGAGGCTGCAAACTCTTCACATAAAGGCCCAGACTAACCAGAGAGCAGCATTACTCCATTATAGTGTAATTACACTTTAAGTATTAACAGCAGCATAGTTCCTAGGCATGGCACAAAATTATCTGTGTTCACGCCTACTTACTCTCTGTTATATAGGCCACTCTGTATAAACTGATTTTGCTCCAAACTTGTGGTTAGATCATTAACTTTTATTGATAATATTCTCCTGAGACCTAGCCTATTCAGTTAAGTCCTCTGCAGCTGACACACAAATCACAAAAAAAGTTTGACTGAAAGATCCATTTTTCCTCAGTTTTCAGGTGGATATGACAATTGAAAGTAAATAATTTTATTAAAACATATAACTGTAAATTGGCATGGATAAGTTTATCCTTTCCAAGTGCATCACTCATGTCACAGCAAGCAGACGCTATAAACGATACTTTAGTGTTTTAGCATGTTATGCAATATTCCATGTCTTCTGTTCAAACGTTAAAGAGTTCAGACAAAGCAGGATTTGCATGTTAATTGCAAAATCTGATAGACTTCAAATGTTACTGAATTATTTGACATATTTTATCAACACTTTTATGTGTATTTGGTGCATTTTGTTACATATTTATTTTTGCTTCTTACTACAGCCTATTTCTTGTGCAGGCACAAATTAATGCCAGTCAATTCTGAGGTAAATATTGAATTGAAATCTTTTTTGTCATAGTCAAGCTACTGTACTGGAAAAAGAGAGAGAGAAGCAATGATTGAGCAATGAATGATTTTTCAAATCCACCCTGTATGTAATATGTGCCCATACAATAGCTAAAAACGCACCTTTAAATGTACGTATGTGAACCCTCAAGTGTTCGCTGACTTCTTGGATCCATTCTTCCATCCCCTTGCGTCCCATCCCAAAGTCTCTCAGGGTTGTGAGTGTGAAGCGTCGCAGCTGGCGCCAGCGCTTCCCATTACTGATTACTAAACCTGAGAAGATGAAATGTCAAGATTAGGAAAAACTTTTACACAAACTATTATTTGAAATTTCTTTATTTTCATGTAAAGTTGACTTAGAGTCATGCCAAAGAAATCACTCGTCTTGAAAACTTCAGTTCAGTTCAGTTCAGTTCATTTTTATTTCAAACATTTCAAACATGTGCCTTCACAATCATTACAAAATATCATTCCATTATTTGTTTGAAAAGGAGTAGGCTGAAGTATTTACTTATTTGTCCCTACCCCCTCAAGTTTTACCTCTCATTCATTTAATTTTTTTTTGTCTTAAATTAAACAAACAACATATGAAACATATGAAGTAAAACAAAACATAACATACATAAATCAAAAACAAGAAATTAGCAAGCCCCACCACAGTATAGTTTCTTTCATATGAAAAATACAGAATGTGTATATTTGCAGATACACAAGTTATGGAAAAACAACAAACCAAAACAAAACAAAAAAACAAAAAAGAACCGCAACACCATTACCAGCAACATTACCGTCCTGGGTTAACCCCGTTTTCTTCATTCTTATACTTATTTAAAATTAGGTTTTTATATTTTACTTTAAACTGTTTTATGTTTTGACTGTCTTTCATTTCTTCTGTTAGACTGTTCCATAATTTAACTCCTGCAATTGAGATAGACATAGTTCTTAAAGTTGTTCTAGCACTTTGTATTTTTAAATTCCATTTCCCTCTTAAGTTATACCCACCTTCTCTTTCTATGAACAATTTACAGATTTCTTTGGGAAGCAATTTATTTTTTACTTTATACATTATTTGCGCTGTTTTAAGCTTCACCAAGTCTTGGAATTTAATAGCTTGCATTTTGACAAAGAGTGCATTTGTATGGTCCCTGTACCCTACATTATTTATTAATCTAATGGCCCTTTTCTGTATTATAGTTATTGTTTGTGTGTTACTTTTGTATGTGTTTCCCCAGACCTCTACACAGTAGCTCATATATGGCAGTAGTAAAGCACAGTATAAAATGTGCAGTGCTTTCTGATCCAACATATGCTTTGCTTTCCCCAGGACGGCAATGCCCCGTGCCAATTTCCCCCGAACATAAGTAATGTGTGGCTTCCAACAGAGCTTGTGGTCAATGATCACCCCAAGAAATTTTATTTCATTTACTCTTTCTAAATATACATTGTCAACACATATTTCTACTTCGATGTTTTTCTTTTGGTTTCCAAACAACATAAATTTGGTTTTATCTAGATTCAATGATAATTTATTTATATCAAACCACTTCTTTAATATCGTTAATTCCTGTGTGATCATCCCCAAAACCTGTGGCAACTCCACACCTGAACACAGTATATTTGTGTCATCTGCAAATATTACAAACTTTAAAATCTCCGATACTCTGCAGATATCATTTAAGTACATAATAAACATTTTTGGACCCAGTACTGAACCTTGAGGTACTCCACAAGCTATATCCATCAAATTAGATTTATATTCATTTATTTGTACATATTGTTGCCTATTCCCTACATAGCTTTTTAACCATTCCAAAACCACTCCCCTAAACCCGTACTTTTCCAGTTTTTTTAATAGAATTTCATGATTAACAGTATCAAACGCCTTCTTTAGATCTAAGAAAACTCCGAGCGCATACCTCTTATTATCCATACATTCCGTTATCTTTTCCATTAAATATATCAGTGCCAAAGCTGTTGATCTGTTGTTTCTGAACCCATACTGACTATCTGTCATTAATTCATATTTTTCCACAAAACTATCAAATCTTTTTATGAAGAGTTTTTCCAGTATCTTAGAGAACTGGGAGAGTATTGACACTGGTCTATAGTTTGTAAAATGATGTCTTTCACCGGTTTTGTAAATGGGAATAACTTTAGCAACTTTCATTTTTTGTGGAAAAACTCCTTTTTGAAACGACAAGTTGAATATATATTTTAATGGTTTTACGATACCATCAATAACTGTCTTTACCGTTACCATATCAATATCATTCCAGTCTGTACTGGTTTTGTTCTTAAGTCCTCTAACTATGTCATAAATCTCTTTCTCTTCCACTGCTCTTAAAAACATTGAGCTACTATTCCTTTCAATATTTTCACCAGTGTCCCTTTCTATTCCATCAACCTTTATTTCTTCTGCCAGTTTTGGCCCTATGTTTACGAAGAATTCATTAAAGCCATTTACTATCTCTTCCATGTTATTAATACTTCTTGTCCCTTCTATAAAGTATCCAGGGTAATCATTATTCCTTGATTCATTTTTGATTATTCTGTTTAATACATTCCATATATCTCTTGTGTTATCTTTATTGTGTTCTAACCTTTTAATGTAATACTCTCTTTTACAGGATCTCATTATATTAGTTAATTTATTTTTGTAAGTTTTATACTTCATTTCAGTTTCTATTGTTCTCTTTTTTATGAATTCTCGATATAGGGTATTCTTTTTTTTGCTGGCATTTTGTAGTCCTTTTGTCATCCATGGTCTTCCTGCATAGTTGTGTTTCCTATTGATTTCAATTACTGGGCAGTTTTTATCAAGTAATGTGTTAAATGTTCTTAAAAATCCTTCGTAAGCTTTATTAACTTCTGTTTGTTCATACACAATATTCCAATCTTGCTTTAAAAGTTCATTTCTAAGACAATTTAAGGTCTTCTCTGTTCTTATTCTTTTGTAAATAATCTTATGTCCATCGTTGTTCACTTTATAATGGCATTTATAAGATGCAAAGACTGGTAAATGGTCACTTATATCATTGATTAACAGCCCACTTTTTATCTTTCCTTCTATTATATTTGTAAATATATTATCTAATAGAGTTGCACAATGAGATGTTATTCTGGTCGGTCTTGTTATCAGTGGAAATAAACCGATGCTGTACATGGAATCAATAAAGTCTTCTGTACTCTTATTATGATTTGGATTCAATAAGTCAATATTAAAGTCCCCACAAATAAACATTCTTTTCTGATTTATATTTGTAAATAAGTCCTCCATATTATCCTTAAATATCTCAATCTTAGATCCTGGTGTTCTATATATACAACTGACAATTAGGTTTTTCCTTTTTTCTATACTTATTTCCACTGATAAACATTCCATCACTCCATCAATAACAGTTGTCATTCTTCCCATTCTTTTGTACTTTAGGTACAAACTGATATATGGTGTCTTGTTACCATAGCCCTTGGTAGCTTTGAACAGAAATGGTATGGGCATTCTGCCTGTGAAGTCATCTGCCTGATCCACCAAGGCTTCTTTCACAGCATCATACCCCACCAGAACCACTGTCCGCTGCCAGCCCATGTACAGTGTCATCACAGGACCATAGGTTTCACTGAACTAAGACAAAGTAAAAAGCCTTGTTTATATTTATGCAACGTCAGCATGCAGCTAAAATAAAAATCCAGAACAGTAATGGAGGGTGCTCTTGTTTATTCTTACTGAACAATTTAACAATATGAAAAATGCTAAAAATTAATAAATAAATAAATAAAAATGCCAAACTCACCTTAAGTATGCTTTTAAAAGGTACATTTTTGTCTATTTGTGGCAGGTTTCCTAGAAGAGGAAGTGGAGCAGGTCCTGGAGGCAGGCGATACTTCCTTCTTTTTACACTAAACAGCCACAGCAGAGCTAAGATTAGCCCTGCCAAGATCACTGTGGCAGAAAACTCCATAATGTTGTATCATTTTTTTATTTTTGTCCTTCCTTATATACCTACTTTCTCTCTGTGATTGGCTCCTGTAGCTAGTTTATATTTAACAGAGGTTTGGCTGGTTGGACACACATGACCAATATGATGCTGTAATCTTGTGCACCTTAGCACACTTTTACCTCATTAATGATTCTCATTGACAAAATCCTTTGCAATACTTGATTTGAATAATAAAGATAAAAACTTTGCTAGATTTAAATAGAAAATTGGTGTAAAATATCCATAACAATAATTGGCAATAATGTAAATTTGCTGCACTACAAACTTGATAATGATGCCAACTAACACAAAATATAACCAGACCTTGTTGATAAGAACAACTGATAATAAAATCTCACATGAACGACAGTTATTTGACGGACGATCTGATTTCCTCGTGTCAGCATTGTTCCCACATCATCATAATTAATGTTGTTCCAGGTTCAACATTGCAAGTGACCAATCACCTTCTTGTGACGTCATTCCTTTGCGACTTCGAAATACCCGCCTTCGATTATTTCGAAATACAAGTGAAGAAGCGAAAAACCGCCGCCTGTCCGCCGAATTTGAAGTCAATTCGCCTGTCCGCCGAATTTGAAGTCAATTTAGGATACTTTCCTTTAATAAAGCATTATACATATGTTCCTCACTTGGCTTGCTGTTTGTTTGCTAGCGATAGGCTACGACAGCATTAGCTAACCAGTGTTCTCTAGACCAGCGTTCCCCAACTTTTTGGGTGTTTCGTGGCCCGGGGGTTGGGTCAGGCAAAATTGCAGTAGCTTCCCTGATCATTTTACAAACATAAGTGAAGAGAATCTGGACTAAAAGGCCTAGACTTATGGTTGTGTGCTGAATCTATGAATCAAACTATCACCTGGAAACATAATTAACTGGTCCATAGCTGTGAAACTGGACATGAGTTCTTGATTCTATGGAGATTAACAGTAATCCAGAAATTTACAAATTTGTCCTGGTACATCGCGTAAATGTTGTCCCAGGGACATCGCGTAAATGTTGTCCCTGGGACATTGTGTAAATGTTGTCCCTGGGACATCATGTAGAATTTGCCCTGGGACATCGTGTAGATGTTGTCCCTGGGACATCGTGTAAATGTTGTCCCTGGGACATCGTGTAAATGTTGTCCCTGGGACATCGTGTGATAGCTTGTAAATAATGGAATGAAAATTATTGATTGTTATTAACTTGTGAAAAAGAAGTGTAACAAATCCACATGTTATGTTCTTACACCCTTACAGAAACTGTGACTCCTTCACAATGTCAGGTAAATGTCAACTCATGTTGAATAATCAACCAATCAAGCCTTTTATTATCACATGCAATGTTACACGTACAACTGCAATGAAAATTTCACCCCCTTCTGACCATACATATATTGCTTAAACATCACATTGGGAAGACAGGTCGGAAACAGTTAGGAAGGTCAGAAAACAATTTAATTAATAGATGAGGAGGAGAAAAAAGAACTACAACCAGACAAAGCTCCTAGAAGACTGAAATGGATGATGGTTGCAGCATGCAAAAAGAAAATGATATCTGTTGACTACAGCATATGCTTTCTCACAGATTACCTTGTGGGAGTAGCTGGACCAAACTCTATTGGTATTTCAAGTTTGAAATCCCTGTTTGATCAGACTAACATTTCAGATGAGGTACCTCTTGACATAAAAATCCTTTTATGTTGTCATAAAACTAATGTTAAATTCTGCTTTAAATACACTTTATTGTACAATTTACTTAATGAATCGTATTCCTTAGTTCTGTTTTTATTTATATGTATTTATTTATTTGTTTTATAAGGTAATAGATGGCCTAATCTATTTGCAGTGTGAGGTATGTTGAAAAGCTGGTTTGATCATAATGACATAGCATGTTTACGTTTTTTGTAATGTATTTGAAAACATAGGTGTATTTATGTTATTTTTATAGAATTTCCCTCACATTTATCCAATACCAAGCCAAATCACTGGAAAAATTTTGGATGGGTCCACAAGAGCACAAAGTGCATACTTTTTGAAGGTATGACTTGGACTGTGGTAACTATGTTCTTATCACAAAGGGTTTATAAGTTGCCACTATAAACAAACAGCATTTTCCAAAATTGAAGCCTTGTCAGAAGAACCTGAAAAATACCTTTCTGAAACCTTTTCTGTGTAAAGACTTGTTCAAAAGCAATGCACACAGATTAAAACATTTCTGTCTTGGCCAACTGATAAAGAACACCAAAAATTGAGTGGTGCGTGTTGAGTCTGTGGTCTTGATTTGTTTTGTACACACTATAGAAATTAATTAATGTAAACCAAAAATGACACTTTCTATATGTTTGTGTATCTGCAGAATTAATTACAAGTCTCACCTGACAAGCTTTTGCAGTTTTGCAGTGTCATTCTTGACAGAAAAACATACTTGTCACATTATTTTTATTTCCAGAAAAACATCTTTCAGATGTATGAGAAATTGATTGGAGCCTGTCTGGAAAACGGCAGCCACTGGACCTTGTTTGTAAGTTGCACAGATTTTGCACTCTCTCTAGTGCATGATACTTTTCAGTGTCCCTCATTAGGAAAGCTCAAGGCCCAAGCCTACCATATCCATCTTTTTACAAAACAGTTTTGTGACATACCCAAGAGGACCATAGTCTATATGAATTCATTTGGCGAGTCGGAGGTCAGAAAAAGTGCGGTGTTGAAAAACTGGAGGTAATTAATTAACATATTTAACATAACATATTTAATTTAATTGAAATCATTACCGAACGTGGTTATTGATTTCTCTATATGCTTTTTATTTGTAATAACTGCGATCTCTCAGCTCATTTGCTTCAGCAAGAGGCTGCGCTGGAGAGTGGACCTTGTCACATGTGAGCCACCCACATCAACAGGATGGGAACTCATGTGGAGTGCATGTCATAATGGTACTGAAAACTATAGCTTTAACCTATATAAGTAATGTTTACATTTTTGCCTATTCAGTTTTTAAAGCCTTAGAGGCAGGATGGTAAAATCTCAATTTTTTTTGTAGATTGAACCATTTCAGCAGTAATGCTTTGCTTTGGTTGCTCTGTTTTGTTTTGTTTTTCTCGGGGGGGGGGTTAAAAACAAACAAACATTTCTTTGTTAATCTAATTCTTTTTGTTCTTTTTTTTTTTTTTCTTCTTCGTCAATTATTAGTTTGCCCAATCTCTCATTGACGGTAAAACACAAGTGGAGGAGTACAACACTGAAATCACAAAGCTCAGGTCCCGACTTTGCCACTACTTATTTTCCTCAATAGGTAAAGATAAAATTAGCTGCCTTCTTTTTCTCTAACATTGGAAAATGTAACTTGTACTTAAACAAATTATATTTTGCAGATCGAACTAGGAAGTGCAGTCAGTGCTGGTGTGTGATTGCAGCCAAAGACCGGGTACACTATGACATGTCCTTAGCCATATAGATTGTTTATTTAATGGACTTTGTTCATTTGTTTTTTGTTTGTTTATTTCTTCTTCTTTTTTTCTTTTTTTTTAATTCACAGGTGCAGTGCCAGAAATGTGGTGCATACAAGCACATGCGTTGTTCAAAGTCTGTTTGTGGCAACTGTATCTTCTGTGAGAGTAAGTCACAATATAACTAAACAATGTCCAAAAATGTTTAAAGTGAAATTTTTTTTCGTAATTTTGCCTTTGCACACCAGGACTGTGTAATTAAAGTGGACGTTTCAAGATCCAGTTTTTACACAAAACTATTTTAGACATAACTGTGTCGTATTGTGGGGATTTCTCTTCACAATTAAATTGATATAGTGCTGTTTATATCATTCTTCTTTATGTAACAGCACAGTGCAGCACAGCAGAGGGAAAGGAGTTGTGCAGCATAGTGGGTGGCTATACAGGAGGAGCAATAGAAGTAGCCAGTGAAGAATGTCATCAGGGAAAGCATCAGGCAGCGAATGACAAAGGAAAAGTTCCTAAGGGAGAGAACATCTGCAGCAAATCGACAAGTAACAGTGAGATAGGAAGACTGACAGTCAGAGATGAAGGTACACAGACTGAAAGAGATGAAGGTACACAGACTGAAGACAACGAAAAAGAAGCAGAAGTATACGGCACAAGTCTGAGTACAGATAATGCTGCTGCTGATGATGTTGACAGGATCGATGCAGATACAGAATTCCAAACTGATTCAGAAGGAACTAGTACAGTTTACAGAGTGCATGGTCGCTTATCTGTACTGTTAGCTGTTAAGGTTCAAAATATTGGGGATGGAGACAAGAGAAAAAACCACAATAACAACACTGGTCCGGCCGGGTTGAGTCAAACGATGATTTAATGATCACACACGTGGGAGATGGACACTGATGCAGACAGCCTCAAAATCTCAAAATGGTGGAGCATTGCTCAAACTTTTATAACCTCTGGTGCCTCCACCTTATCATAAAAAGCCTAAACATTCACATGCTCTCTCTCACACAGCGCCTAAGCTACGACCTTGGCTCCCTGTTTATCTGCTCCTGCTGAAATGGGGCAGAAAACTCCAGCACACTCTGTTCTCTTCTACTCAGACAAATTAGACAATAACCTTCTGCGAACAGTATTTCTTATAACTCAGCAATATAATGCATCATAAAACAATATCATTCATTCACAACAAGTCAGCAATTTAATGTAATGCAAATCAGTTTAACTAATGCAATAGTTATCAGCTTCTTCTAATTCAGGAGAATAATGCAAACTAAAACTACATAATAATTCACAATCTTTAATTAGGGGTATAACATGGCATAAAATAATATCATAATTTTACAGTACCAAGCTCAAAAAAGAAAACCTACACAATAACAGAAGACGAGATCAAGCGCAGAATCAACGCAGAGAACATGTCAGTTCATGTTTTCAGAGGTTTGATTGGGGTAGGTATACATTTCGTGATTTTGATGTCACCTGAAATAAATCCGGGTTACTCGTATCAATGAAGTGACAATGTGGCTGGAAATTGTGCATTTGCTGCAACATATACACAATTACACCATGTAAACAAAAGCATTTAACTTTGTGCGCGTGTGTGTGTCTCTCTCTGCTCTTTTGGTGTTTGCACTTTTTCTTTTTTAGGGCCGTAAAGCCAAACTGCCCGCAATGATTCTTGACAGGCCTAAGAAGGCCAAAACTAAAGTAACAGTGTTTAGTGTTCTGAGTGAAGAGGAGGCTGGGGAGCTAGCCCTCGGGTTTGCCGGAAGATTGGCCTGCGATGTCACAACAGACATGGTCTGTAAAGGCATCGACCATTCAAGTGCTGATATGACAAAGTAAGTTAGTAAAACAATATGAAAGTTGTATCTTTTTTGGTATTATTTGTCATTTCCCCGTATTTGGGTTATTGGTGTAACATTGTTAATCTTACTTTCTAATAACAGACAGACTCTTCTCAAAATCCAACACAATCTTAAACATGAGCTGACTGATTCCTCAACCTTCAGTTTGCTGACACACACCTTTGGCCCCGCTGCACTGGATTCTGTCATTTCATTCCTGTGTGAAAAACTTGATCTTGTCTCTTAAATAATGAAACCTTTTGTGACTTTTGTTTGTTCTGTAAATCAGAATCTTGAAAATTGTTCATTGTTGTTCTAAGTTTGTGTTAACTATTTGGCAAAAATGATTGGTTCCTAATCCAAACAGCATAATGACTGTTCTAACACATATCTTAAAAATGCTACAAAGAAAGAAAATTATCACATATGTTTCAATATGAATGTAATTGTGTCACACTCGGTTTGTAGTAGCTTTCCTGTTTTATTTTGAGTTTTGGTATGTTTACACTGTTATTTTTATTTCCCGTGTGTTCGTCTTCCCTTATTAGTTTTACTGTATTTAATTAGTCTGATTTAATAACTTATAATTATTTACTTTCCAGTGTGTATATATGCTCCTCGTTTGGATTATTGTTTGTTTGAGTTCTGCCTGTCTTTTCTATTAAAGATTTGGACTTTTGGACTATTAGTGGACCTCGTAGGTTTTTATTCTGTTCAATTGGTAATTGACTGGGTTTAATTTAGTGGCCTGGAAAACAGGCCGGAGGGGTCTGGTCATTTTAACCCCCTAAGACCCGAAATCTTCCATGGCATGCATTTTTAATTTCTCTTTGATATTTGGGCCGATTGGAACCCGATGAATGTAAAAAGAAAGAATTACCAGGTTTTGTTTTTTTTTACCTAATTTTTGTTTCTGAGAAAAATGAGAGCCACATATGAGGACATTAATTTGAAATTTCGATAGAACAGTTGCAGTATAATGTCCTCATAACTGTATATCAGGCACTTGTTGATCAAGATTTAGTATTTTGGTCTAAATAACCCAAAATGTGATGTCCACATGTGTGGACGCCAGGCTGGAGTAAAGTGTTAGAGCTATTTATACCTATGTAAACTTTTATACACTGGTTTTTACCTGTCTTGTTTCAGAAAGGTTTAAAAGGGTAATGTCCACAGTTTATTTGTTTATTTATTTGTTTGAATTCAACATATTTTATTAAAGTAATTGAGCTTGAACACAGAAAAAACTGAATCAAATAATCATAAAATCAAATCACTTGCACTATACTGAAGTCTAATCTACTCTGAGCTAATGCCGGTTTCCAACACTAATGATCGGGTGAAGGAGAGAGATGAGGGTGTGCACGGCCACTGGTGCTCTTATCCCTGTTCTTTGTGATACAATCCAACAGGAAAGCAATCAAACCCTTGGACATTAGCCAAGTTAACGTTCACAAATATATACACACAGAGGAACTCTGAGCCCCAATGTCAGCATTAGCACAAACATGCCACTTCATACCAAATCTCAGTGTGAGGTCAGGTGTTAGTCTCATTCCATTATTCTGGCTATATTTTCTTACTCATTACTATTAAACTTATACTTAAGACTAACTATTAACAAAATCACACCCCAATAACTCTGTTATTACACTTTGTATTTAATCATAAAAAGGCTGGATGTTGAAACCTTTTACTTCTATTTTGTATGAGCCAGGATTCTCAACAGCTGATACTCTATGTCCAAAAAGTGACAGGTATCGTTTTATGGAGCAAAAAACTTAAGAGCGCATATTTTATAAATAATACCAACAATTACAAATGCAGACCTTTAATAGTAATAAGTAATCCTTTATTTATAATGCATAGCAATATAAAAATAGTAACATATGAAAATATTACAATGGGCACAGATGAATTTGTATCAAAAACAGCAACCAAGCCAAAGTAATGAATAACACACATAAATAACAACTGCTTGAGAGACCAAACAATTTCTTTTCATCTGTTCCTTGGCAGAAAGTTAAGACAGCTATTCAGCTTTAGGTTTCAATAAACAGAAGTAATGGATGCAGTCCCTTTGAAATGTCACACAAAAGTCTACTTGTGCATATACTTAGCTTTAACTCTTCTCTTTTTTGTTTTGTATTCCAAAAGGTTTTCATTTTCTCCAGAGGATGTGTCTCTTTCAGTGGTTATCGACTGTTCACATTCATTTTCAGACTGTTGGAATGTCGATGCTGGCCGAACATTTCTTGCTAGAATACAATGGCCTAATTTTGCGTGCATTATCTGTCATCTTTATTTCGTACTGGCATATACTTTTGCCTACTTGTTTTGTTTTTAAGACATTTGTATGCAGTTCATCTATCATTGCAGTAATACCCTCTGGAATGAATGCCCACTGTTTAACTGTGTCTAAAACAGCATTTAGTTTTCCAACTGCATCTTCTGTGCATTTTTTGTCTGTGCTTTCAACTACAGGAGTGTCATTCAAAGTTGATAGAGGACTTTTCAGAGAGTTTTTCATTTGTTTAAAATGGCTACAAGCCACCTTCAGGCAAGCACATGTGTTATAGTGAGAGAACATACAACAAGTGCACTGAAGTGTTTCAGACGATGCAAAAAAACACAGATTTCCAAACAAACTTGGCATTTTTATCACTTTCAAGTCCTCACAGTGTACAAAGTAATGCCTTTCTTTCACTGCAATTCTTGCCAAGGTCTGTTTCCATGTTTGGATAGATGTCATTGTCAGCCTCTGCTAATTTTGCAAGTAACACTAGATGCTTGCAAAGAAGTCCTCGTAAGCCATATGTACAGTTGCAGTAGGACTCAACAGGGCAGACATCATACACCATGTCTTCTCTTGACTCAGATGGGACTTGATATGCATTAACTCCATGGCTGTTCTTGACTGTAATTTTAAGAGCCCAACCACTTTCCATCAGTCTTGAAGCAGAGTCTGAAACTTGAGACAAGGTGTCAGCAAACCTGTTTTTCATGCGGCCCACATCTTGCAGGGTTTTTATGACTGAGAAGTAGTCGTCGGCCTTCCCTAGGAGCACTTCAATCAGATCATCCAGACGCCTATTCTTGTAGCCAGATAAAAACTGGTATTTCAGGCGGTGGAAAAATCTGAAAAACAGTTATTTGAAATGATTAGTAACTGTAATTGAAGGAATTTAAAGTTTTAATCAAGACTGTATTATTTTTTAAAAAGTTGGAATACCTATTGCACACGTCTTTTATAAAGGAATGCTCTGTGCCGGTTTAGCTGATTTAGGCAAATCCACCTACTCTGTTTTTTGTTGTGATAACATTAAAAACGCTGCTAGAATTTAAAGGATTTGCCTAAAACCTGTTCTGGCAATGACATGACGAACCTACTCAGTTTAGCCTCTTGGATTAAAGCATAATATCTTTTTTTCAGCAATACAATTGAATGAGGTCAAAATAATAAATCATACCTTTCAATCACATTGTTTGTTTCAGAACGAGCGTGACTGAAGCGACGGCCGTAGTCACACCACATGTGGCCAATGCCTTCCCAGTGCTTCTGAAAATACTGGCACACCAAAGGGTATTGCTTAAATGTCTGGCAGAACTCTGCTGATGTGGCTTTAAAGTCGTCCTCCTAAGAGAATTGGATGCAACAGAATATATTTCAATCCATTTAACAGACCTATTGAAATCTTTAATATTATGTATTGAAGCCCTTTTCCTTTTATTGAATAACATTAAGAATTTTAAGTTATTAATAATATGTCGTGTTTTTGTATTAAGAAGCAATTATTTCTTCCCTTACAATGGCTAAGAAGGAACACTAAACCTATAAGCATATTTGGTTTCAGCATCTGTCTGTGAAAGAATCCCACTCACAAGTTCTACTGCACAGTGGGTGACACAATGATGTTCTGCACAGCTTAAGTACTTGTTTTGATAAGCAAGATAAGAAGCCAGTTTTAGAAATTGTTTCAAAAATCTATTTTGTATCTCTCTGTAACTTTTTTTAGCAACTGAAAGTTATTATGCTCTTAGTGTAATCAAGAAATCAAAATGTGAAATAGACAAATTACATTTACAGATGTGCAAGCTTTCAGCTTACAAAAGAAAGAAATGATTTCATTTCTCTTTTGGGTGTTAGAAAGCCCATGGACCCCGGACTCTGATTTTGAAAGCCATCGATTAACAGCCTGTGAATGTAAGAGAAAAAAAGTTAATCTGGAGAGAGAGACAGAGGAGCAGCTGTACAAAAAGCATAAAAGAAAGCTGACTTCCAAAAATAACTTTGTCACTCACTGGACAAGAGGACCTGTGCATTACAGAAATCAACCAGGCAAACATATTTTTAAATGTCAAAAAGAGCTTTGGGAAGCAGCCACCAGAAGATGAGTGCACTGTGGTCTTAAATGGATGGACATAGTCACTCAACATTTTATCCCTTTATATTCATTAACCCGAGTAGGTGAATATCACAATGAGGCAAATCATAACAACAGGACCCTGTTGTAAAAATGTGTTTCAGGTGCATCTTAGACAACGTGAAAAGAAAACAATGTGGTTTACCTGCAAGACATGGTACCAGCATAGAAGGATAGCTGACTCTGGAAAAACCTTCTGCAAAGCATTTATTTCCGCAAAGTCTTTGTCAACCATAAATGCTCTACAGAAAAAAAGAAAACACTAAATGAGATTAAACAGTATGAAAATGTTTTTGCTATCTCAAAGCACCACTTCAATGCCAAATTAAACATTTCAACTCACAAGTAGATATATAAAATACTGCATACAGCCTATAGGAATAACTTTAACAACTGGAAAGGAAAGTTTTTCGCAGCCCATGCTGCAGCTATAGCATTAGATTCTGGCATGTTATAACTTTTTTGAAAAGGAATTATTTCAAAATTAATAGCTGTCAATGTATTATTTACCTCGGGGAAGTTGGGAAATGCTCACAAACTATTCCAAGAACAGTTTCCAGGGTTTTCTGACTTTCGTTGCTGACAATAGCATAGGCCACAGGGACTCCATGCCCATGATCATCTCTTACAACAAGTGTGAATAAGGGAAATGAATACTGGTTAACGCAGTGCGTGGTGTCAACAAATACTAACTGTTTTGCATAGTTCTCCATGTTTGATTTCATTACAGGTGTCTGCAAAACAATCATTAGTTCTTGGTCAGATGTGTATGGTTGATAGAAGAGAACATGTTCTTGATGTTTTCCATTAAGTAAGGTATGTACACATTGACTGTCTCCACAGTTAAAGTGCTTCTTCCTCATCATGCAGGTTCTAACACTGTCAATGTCACGTGGTGTGACAAAATGCTCTCTGTTGTGAAGATCTCTGTGTCCATGTTCTTTGGCCCATTTATGACATTCGGTTAGTATGATGGCTGGCTTAGTTCCAAGGGAAAGCAGTTCCTCAATCTTCCTCCTCAAATCACTGGAAATATTGTTGAAATGTGCGTCTTTTGGGTCCGAAGGATCATGCCCATCATGCTTATCATATGTACGCTGCACGATGACTGTGTGGTCTTTCCAACATTTGAGTACTTTAAATGAAACATAGGCCTTACAGCCCACTGCTCTGTAGCTGTTTCGACTTTTTTCCCCAGCTCTGATGCAGTTGAATTTGTAATAGTCTCTTTTCCTGTCTTTACCTGAGGCAACATTTAAACATTTATAATGTCCATGAAGGGTTAATGAGTTCAATTTTTCTAACACAACACTGAATGGGTCCTCCTGGCATTGTGACACATGCACACAAAGTTGTGTGTCTTTTCCAGTTCTTTTTTTTTCGTCATTCAGAACACTTCTTCTAATTATGTCATCCATTTCTGGTGGAAAAATAACGAAGGTTTAATTAGTCAATATTCATTAATTCATTTTAACTTGTTTTGGGGTTTTTTGCAATACAATGTAAATATTAAATATAATATTAAAAAATATATATATATAAAATAATATAAAACAAACAGGGGCTAAAAGAAGCTAAACTTTCATATGGTATGTCTCTGGCAACTTTAACACGATGTCCCAGGGACAACATCTACACGATGTCCCAGGGCAACTTCTACATGATGTTCCAGGGACAACATTTACGCGATGTCCCAGGGACAACATTTACGCGATGTCCCAGGGACAACATTTACGCGATGTCCCAGGGACAACATTTACGCGATGTCTCAGGGACAACATTTACGCGATGTCCCAGGGACAACATTTACGCGATGTCCCTGGGACAACATTTACGCGATGTCCCAGGGACAACATTTACGCGATGTCCCTGGGACAACATTTACGCGATGTCCCTGGGACAACATTTACGCGATGTCCCTGGGACAAATTTGTAAATTTCTGGATTACTGTTAATCTCCATAGAATCAAGAACTCATGTCCAGTTTCACAGCTATGGACCAGTTAATTATGTTTCCAGGTGATAGTTTGATTAACTGTATTATTTTATTGTTTTTTTTGTAAAGCACTTTGGTATGCCTAGGCTTTTAATGTGCTCTATAAATAAAGGTTGTTGTTGTTGTTGTTGTTGATTCATAGATTCAGCACACAACCATAAGTCTAGGCCTTTTAGTCCAGATTCTCTTCACTTATGTTTGTAAAATGATCAGGGAAGCTACTGCAATTTTGCCTGACCCAACCCCCGGGCCACGAAACACCCAAAAAGTTGGGGAACGCTGGTCTAGAGAACACTGGTTAGCTAATGCTGTCGTCAAGTAGCCTATCGCTAGCAAACAAACAGCAAGCCAAGTGAGGAACATATGTATAATGCTTACCGTTTATTAAAGGAAAGTATCCTAAATTGACTTCAAATTCGGCGGACAGGCGAATTGACTTCAAATTCGGCGGACAGGCGGCGGTTTTTCGCTTCTTCACTTGTATTTCGAAATAATCGAAGGCGGGTATTTCGAAGTCGCAAAGGAATGACGTCACAAGAAGGTGATTGGTCACTTGCAATGTTGAACCTGGAACAACATTAATTATGATGATGTGGGAACAATGCTGACACGAGGAAATCAGATCGTCCGTTATTTGACAGTCTACACTGCCCCCTACTGGAATCAAGATTTGACCCACAAACTGCTCTGACACCTGTTTGAACAGTTATATGCTGTCTGTAACAGCATAGGCACATATAAACTAATAGTGAATGCTGTTTAAGTAGCAAATACTCATGATCTAAAAGCAGCATTTCACAAAATTATTCAATATCAAGTCTTTTTCAGACTTTATTTGGATTGTTTATTTTCTTTTTCATATGAAACTGGGGTTACCTGCTCAGCACTAAGGAGAAACATAGTTTTGTTAAGTTTAAACAGCAATTACAATTTGATGTTCAAAAAACCTTTATGCTTTGTTGACACGTCTAAAGTAATTTGTACTAGCTGTTAGTTAACTTATAACTGGAACACATACTGTTTATATTTCATGCCTGTGCTTATTGGTTTGGTTCAATTTTGACCCGAGTCAAAAATTCCCTAATAATGTGTCTATAGTAAATGTTGAACTATGTATCCATTTAGAAACCAGTAACAAGTTACCTGAATTTAGTAAATGGATAATTAATTAATAATCCATTAAGTTCAGAGAGCAGAGAGAATGTATTTATATAAATTATGACACAATCTGATGTTCTATTTTATATGAAAGGATAACGCTGATTAATGATTTAAATATGTTTTTTTAAAGTGGAAATGATTATAACATTCTTAAACATTCATATAAAGTTATATAATCATTATGACTGTTAAAGACAGGTATAACTGAATTATCATTAAATAAAATCCTTGCAACTGCAATTTATAATTATTAACAGTGAATAATATTTAGAAAGAACTTGATTTTTGCAAACTAAACCATTCAATGTCATGGACACTGTGTTCTGTGCCCACATTTACAGTATTGTATTCTTTGCAGTCAGCAGAAAACGTCTGGTTGGTTTCTTTATGATTATGTTCTCAGTTTGTCTTATAGTTTTGTTACCCTTTGGAATCTAATTTCTGCTTGTGGTTCATATTTAATTCTTTGTTTTTCAGTGTTTTGTGCCTCTCCTGTGTTCTCTTGAATTATGTCAAGACTTTTTCTCTGTCTCTCATTTTTCCTTATCATGTTACTTCCTGTTTTATTTTGGTAGTCTTTTGTTCTTTGTGTCTTGTGGCTGTTTTACCTCCTTTTGTCATTATCAGTGACTAGTTCCACATGTTCCCATCTTTTCCCTATTCCCCAGGCCCCTGTGTATATATAGCTCTGTCTTTGTTTTACTCCTTATAACTTCCTGAGAATAAACACCTTCAAGTTTGAAACTATTGCTTTCAGAAGGAATCCCTCCAAGGGATGCATTACAGCCAAGTGGAAGAGTTTAAATATCTTGCTCTTGTTCACAAGTAATATGTAATAGGCTTCTTGGTTTTCTGAAGGTTGATGTACTAGCACTGGCAAGGAATTTAATTTCATGGAGTGAACCTGTGTATACAACAGCCTGTCCTGCAGCTATGCTCCAGTATGGGACGCAGACCCATCGTCTTCATCGGGTGGAAGTAAGCATCGCAAGTGTTTGGAAGCAGGGAGGGGGGTGAGTGTGTGTCTGTTTCAGTGCACATGCATATGTATGCATGTGTGTGTGTGTCCCATGTTCAACTGAGAGAGACCGTCCTTTCACCTGGTTAAGCAAAAAGTCAACAGTCCTCCAGCCGACGCAGGTGGCCTTGAGGCTTGAAGGATAGGGTCAGAGAGTCAAAACACAGTCTTGTAATCTGGGAGAAATTGTTGTGCCAGCCAGTCATTCGGTCTTGGAGCCATTTGCCCTTGGAGCCTTCTGGCTGGCCCCGGGCAGCCACATGAAGATAATGGTTGTTTGGGTTAGGGTCAGAATCTCATCTCTGATTTTTGCAGATGATGTGGTTCTGTTGGCTTCATCGGGTGAGGGCCTCCAGCTCGCACTGGAACGGTTCGCAGCCGAGTGTGAAGCAGCGGGAATGAGGATCAGCACCTCCAAATCTGAGGCCATGGTTCTCAGCCGGAAAAGGGTGGAGTGCCCACTCCGGGTCGGGGATGAGTTCCTGCCCCAAGTGGAGGAGTTCAAGTATCTCGGGGTATTGTTCGCGAGTGATGGGAGAAGGGAGCCGGAGATCGACAGACGGATTGGGGCTGCAGCTGCAGTAATGCGGACGCTGCACCGGTCCGTCGTGGTGAAGAGGGAGCTGAGTGTAAAAGCGAAGCTCTCAATTTACCGGTCGATCTACGTCCCTACCCTCACCTATGGCCACGAGCTGTGGGTAGTGACCGAAAGAACGAGATCGCGGATACAAGCGGCGGAAATGAGCTTCCTCCGAAGGGTGGCTGGCCTCTCCCTTAGAGATAGGGTGAGAAGTTCGGCCATCCGGGAGGGGCTCAGAGTAGAGCAGCTGCTGCTCCACATCGAAAGGAGCCAGCTGAGGTGGTTCGGGCATCTGACAAGGATGCCCCCTGGGCGCCTCCTGGGTGAGGTGTTCCAGGCATGTCCCACCGGGAGGAGGCCCCGGGGCAGACCCAGGACACGCTGGAGAGATTATATCTCTCGGCTGGCCTGGGAACGCCTTGGTGTTCCCCCGGATAAGCTGGAGGAGGTGGCTGGGGAGAGGGAGGTCTGGGCCTCTTTGCTTAGGCTGCTGCCCCCGCGACCCGGCTCCGGATAAAGCGGATGAAGATGGATGGATGGATGGATGGATGGATGGGTTAGGTTTAGTGCAAACAAACTGCATCCAATTTCGCAGCTGATCTAATGTCCATCACTGGTCCCCAGACCTATTGATTCCCTGTTGCAGAGTCTTGAGCTTCTCCAAGATCTTATCCATATTGCGTTCAATAAGCACAGTCCGAGTACTCATGGCCTTGCCCATCGCATCGCCCAGAATTAGACGAGACTAGAGAAAGACGCAGAGCCAAGCAGGAAAGATTTTTTGTTTTTATGTTTCTTTTTGTGGCGGTATAAACAATGAAAGGTGGTGGATTGGCCAATTGGTCATGATTGACCCTCCCTCTCTTGTTGCTACTTCAATCATGAAACCGATGATCGGCTTTTCTCTATTGTTTGTTTATCGCCCACTCCGCGCCAGAAAGAGGAAACCAGTAGTGATGTGTCGGTCGCGAACGAAACGGCTCTTAGAGCTGGCTCTTTGACGTGAACGACACGTTTTTTTTTTCTTTCTCTCACCGACTTTCTCGCACTTTTTTTCACTTCACTCCGCACGTGAGCCTTGTGCTTGCGCTGGGCAGAGGGGGGTGGGGTGGTAGTTACACTCGCAGTAGCACAGGAACAGAGTGAAAGAGAGAGAAAGAGAGCCAGGGACAACAAGAGACAACACACGATCACATTAGAAAGGTACAGTAATCGTCCACAACTATTTTCAGTTGCGGATGATAAAGGATTCAGAAAGTTTATTCATGCAGTGAATCCTATGCAATTCCAAGCAGGAAAACACTCCCAAAAAATCATCCCAGGCCTAAATGACAGAGAGTGTGCATCTTCATTTTGTTTTGCATATTTTAATTTATATTTGATTGTATTGTGGTTTGCAGTGTTTTATGTTGTTTCACTTTACATTTGTTTAAAAGGAAAAAGCTGAAAATTTAAATAGTTAAAAGCTGAAATGTAAATAATTGGTTTTTGAATTTTATAATTTATTTATTAAATTTTATGTGGAGTGAATAAATAAAAGTTTAATATTTAAGGTGGCAGCTAGAGACAAAGCAATTACAAACTCCAAAACACGAACAAATATAGATAGATAGATAGATAGATAGATAGATAGATAGAT